TGTGCTTGGGATGCTTGGTAACTAAAGAGCAAGTGGCAGAGATCAGGGGAAAAGGCAGTGGGGGGGAGGCAAGGGGGCATATGCAGCAGAACTCAGCTAAGAGGTGCAGTGCAGGTGCATTTGCCCCACCCTCCCCCGCCTGGCTGCGCCCACAGTGTTCCTCATGTGGCCAAGCTGCACCAGTCAAACTGTACCACCCTAGACCCCAGCCCCAGCCAGCATGCAGTTTCCTGGCAGGGCTGCTGCAGCTGCCTGGGTCCTGCTCAGCTCTCCTCACCTAGAGCAGATCCTCCTCCTCTTGCCGCTGCTGCACCACTCAAGATGGAAGGAAGCTCCCAGCTGCCTTCCACCCACCTGCAGGTGGCTGCTTATCATGCCGGGAGGGCAGAGCAGGTAGAAGACAGCCAGGAGTAGAAGCTAGAGCCCCACACACTGGGACAGGGCAGCAAGGGAGAGGAGGGGCCACTAATGAAGACAGGGGGAGCCAAGCAATACCTGGGAGGCTGCAGTAGCAGCATTTCCACTGGAAAGTTGTGTGTGTTGGCCAGGGCTGTCAGTAGGCATGGCCATGGCAGGTGCAGGTGGGAGTGTGACATGGGCTGCTCCAAGCAGGGTTTGGCTCCATGTAGAGTGCTGCAAAGGCAACTGCAGGCCATATTTTGCCCATTCTGCAGTAGTCAGTTGAACTGGACTAGACTTGGAACACCCCACCCTCCCCAAAGTATGACTTCAGCTGCTTTGCTACAGGGTAACAAACAACAGTAGAGTGGCCTGTATCTGCATAGGGCTATATATCATTTGTCTATAATTCTCTCTTTTACACCATTGTAAAATACAAGCTACATTGGTGCAAGTGTGTCTGCACCCTAACAGAGGCAGCTTATACATCACGTCCTGTTTGGGTTTAGCTGCTGAATTCTCAACCTGATGAAGGTGGCAAAAGGCAGCAAGCATAGAGATTTAATCAAACCTACTGAATACAGATATACCCCCTCTTCCACAAACAGCTTCCCCCACCCCCCATACAATAACTACAAAGACTGTGACCTGAACTGCTAATGACATTACAAAACCCCAGAGTAAAGAATCCAAACAATTAAGTGCACCACAAAATACTGAAATAAAACTGCACAGAAAACTGATTTAGTACTTACTGCATGCAGAAAAGTATTGCAAATATAAAAGTCAAGACTGTAGGGGGCTTGATTATAGGTCAACCACATGTATAAGTAAAGTGTGATTGTTATAGTTAGTTGGAGCTAGAAGAGGTAGCCTTATTCAAAATAGACTACTTTTAATGTTAACAGATTTGTAGGTCACCAATTCTGCTGCAACATGAGAACATGAAAATACTGACTGTATGTAGGGCACTTATAGACATGGGGTAGGGGTGCACCGATAGATTTTTTGGGCCAATACCAGTGGCCAATTTTTAACAAGCCATATCAGCTGATACTGATCCAATTGCCGATATGCAGCCCAGCAGCTCAGAAAGCAGCATCCAGCTGGTAAGTCTGTTGTGGGGGAAGAGGGGAAGAAAGGGGCATGGGAATTGCAGACTAAGGCCCCCATGATGAGGGAGAGAATGGGGCTGGTGTTGGGGCAGGGGCAGAAGACTGAGACGCAGCTCATCCAGGGGTGCAGGGAAGGGCAGGCTCCTGCCAATACATGCACCTCAGGAGGACATGGGGTTGTGTGCCCCCTGGATCTGCGTGGGGCAAGGGTGAGTGACAGCAGCATTACAATGAAGGGGGCTAAGGCAAATTTTGGGGTGGCTATAGCCCACCCTGTAGTCCCCCCTCCTAGCACCACCCATGCCCAGCTCAAGAACAGCCCTGGCCCAGCCAGGAAGAGCCCCTGGCCTCAGCCCACAGCAACAGTCTGCCCTCACTCCACAGAGATCCAAGGGGCACGTGGCTCCCACCCCCCATGCCCTGTGGGGGTGCATGCAGTGGTGGGAACTGACCACCAGCCTTCCCACAACGTGAAGACAAGCCAGAGCTCTGTCCCCAGCTGCGCAGTGCCTGCCCATGCCCCTCTACTTCCCTTACTACACGAGTCTTGGTCTGCCTCACTCCCAAGCCCCTTCCTTCCCCCTGCCCCTTCTCCCCACCCCCAAACAGACTTGCCAGCTGGATGCCACTCTCCAAGCTGCCAGGCTGCGCTCCTGGCTGCCTGCATGCTGTGCTGCAGCTGCGCATGCATGAGGCATTTATCAGTGACATTATTGGCCACATCAGCCAAAAAAGCCAATTGCGGATAAGATCAATTTTCTTTTTAAAATCGGTGGCAATATGATATGGATTGACGTATTGGTGCACCTCTAACATGGAAGGTTAAAACAAAAAAAACAAAAGAAACCAACAGCCAAACTAAAAACCAAAAAACATATTCCTTTACTGGAAGAGGAAGCATGTTAGTTTGACTCAGCTTGCCCAATATCTATATAGATTGGGTGCTTTAGCAGGGCTTTTTGGAGCTTTTATCTAAAACTGACTGAATCAACTATTAGATAAAAGCTCCAAAAAGCCCCACTGCAGCACCTGATTTATACAGTCGTTGGGCAAGTCAGGTCAAACTAACACAATGCGTCTTCTGGGCAAGCACTACACTTAGAGCAGGGCCATGCTGAGTTGAAACTAGAAGCTGTGTTTTTCCACCCCACCCCCATCATCTATAAGCAGCCTATATGTACCCACAGTTTGAAGTCACATCTATTACACCTGCAGAAACCGAACAGAGATGGAACAAAAGGAGCTTAGTTTAAATGGGGACATCACATAATATTAATGACCTTGAAGAAACTTAGTTCCCTGCTTTATAAGTCATAATGCTCTACCCAAAAATGAAGAAACAAATATATAAAGTTCACTGCATTATAAGGAGGAAAATCCCTTAAACAACACTCACCATGGCTCCTCGGTAATATGCCGTTGTAATTGTACGGAACCTTTCCTGACCTGCTGTATCCCTAGAATTTGGGGTGGGGGGGCGGAGGGGAAGAGAAAACAAGAAACAGAATCACTTGTTAGTTTAACTGTTTTAAATTAAAAATAAATTAAAACAAGTTTTAAAAAACTTAAGAAAAACAACTTTAAACCCCCCCCCCCAAACCATCACACACCCCCACTCCAAAAGCAAGGAGTATTTTGTACTCCAGGATATTAGGAATAACATAATTTACAAGTTTTATGGAGAAACTTCTCCTGACCTCAAAAAGGTATTGATAATCATTATAACATAATGAGAAGAAATGACATATCATCTCAAACCTATGAGTAAACAGTTACAGTCTCAGTCAATGTGACCTTTTTATGATAGGTACCACGTAAAGAGATTGTGAACAAGAGCATAGTATTGAACAAAAGCATAGTATGCTTGCAAAAGGAAAGAGAAGCTCAACAGCTAAAGCAATTTTCCTGTACAATATACTCTCACTCATTTGGCTAAGAACCAACAACTCTGCATCAGGGACAGCTATACTCTTAAATTGTGCTTCATGACATGCGACAGTGAGGACCAGAAGACTATACACTATCTCTGAATGTCAAGTGCATGCAGACAGCACTGAACACTAGAGGTTCAATCCTCTTCCCCCCACCCACCCCAAAAACAAAAGAAAAAGTCAAAGGCACAAGGTTTATTTACTCAGCCATGGTGATTCACCCTTGTAAAAGTTTTTCATCCAAGAACCTTTCATCACATATCAAACAAACCAAATTAAGAACCCTAAGTTTTATACATGAATGTACACTATTTTGTGGCTTGTGTTTGAGGACAATCAGGTTGAAGCAACCAGACTATTCCCTCTGATAGCAGCAGACAGACACCAACTGACATCAGTCCTTCCACTCCTCAAACCCAAGGAGTACTGGCAAACCCTACTACCCATTTACAAGTAGTCTGGCTGGGCATCAATTCATTAAAAATAAAAAATCCACAAAACATCCCCATGTCGATCGGACTTAAAAAAAAAAAAGACAGAAAATTTAATTGCTTAGCCTGATCCGATGCAATTAGTATTTCTCTCGTTTAAGTCATTAAAATATTTTTCCCAACATCTCATTTTACCAGCAGTATTACAGCCAACATGTGTTAAGTATGAAGTGCATAGAACCCTTCTACTCAAAAGACGCTGGTAAATACCCAGAGGTTACCTAGAGAGCTTGTGGAATCCCCGTCCTTGGAGGTTTTTAAGACCCGGCTACACAAAGCCCTGGGATGATCTAGTTCGGGGCAGTCCTGCTTTAAGCAGGGGGTTGGACTAGGTTCTCCTAAGGTCCCTTCTAGCCCTAATTTTCTATGATTCTGTGAAATAGCTATTGAACCAGCATTTGCCAGATACTGTATAGCCTTGCTATTATTAAAGTCACTCTGCTACATGAATTCCGTGTGCTATCCATGTGTTAATTCAAACCAACACCAATTAAAGGACTTAATTCTGTTTACACTATTTTGAAATACTCACCATATCTGTAGCTTGATTTTCTTTCCATCTAGTTCTATTGTTCTGATTTTGAAGTCAATTCCTTGGGAGAGAAAAAGATAGGTTAAGTTTAGCAACAAAGGGAAAGGAAACAGGATCAAGTTTCTTCTGGACATTTCAGAAAAACAAAAACAAAAAATTAAAAAGACTGTGTTAGACAAAAGATTAAAACAAGTATTTTGCAACTGTCACTTCAGATCACGATAGAGTGGTGCAAATGCAAAGAGCTGACTGTGCCCAAGATGTGCACTACCCTGACTGCTTAGGCACCACAGAGAATAAACCAGAGGCTGATGCAACGGGAACCATGCTACAATGCTCAAGTATATCAGACAAGGATGCAATCCCAAAACACTTTATCTGAGTGGTATGGCCACTAATCTGGGTGACCAGTCTCCTGAAATTGTGGCCAGCCTCCCTATTGCCTCTCAAGTTCAATTGAATAGCTGAGCATAATGTAACCCAAGTTGTTACATAGATTGGTCACAAGACAAGATTTACTGAAGTAAATCAAGTACAAGTTAAAGCCATTGATAATGTAAAGTCACTGAGACAGACATTTTCCATTATTTAACCCATCAACTTAGGAGCAGAACATTCTTTTTTCAATCATAGATCTACAAATCTGTAAAAGCTAGAGGAAAAAAAAATGCTATTCTCCCTCTGTCACATCCCAGTTTAGTGTAATCAATTGGTTCTGTAAAACAGTAGTTTTTAAAAAGCTTTTGCATGCTACAGATAAAGTTAACAGTATTTCCTTCAATGCCATAGAAAAGCATAAAGTTTGAAAATGTAAGCAAACATCAATAATTCTGAGTTAGGCAGACTGTTGCATGCCCAATGCTAGGGTAACCAAATTGCTAGTTGGTTCAGAAAGTCTTGCTTATTAGAGTAATTCACAATGGATTTTACTCCACAGTAAAGTACAGACCTGCAACCAGCTCACTTGTGATAGCTGCCTGTAGTTGGCACTATTACAACATCTGGACACTAGGGTTTACACTGATCAAACACTAGCCTAAAAATTAAAGTAGCTAGGAAGCAGACCCCATGACCAGTAGATTTTTTTCTTGGGGGGTGGGGGGAGGGGACAACATACTCTACACCACAGTGAAGTGACTTATATCAGTGTAAGGCTGTGTACCTGTCTCTGCTTCACTTCCCAGGGAAGCAAGTCAATTTACTTACTAGCAAACATGTTACGTGTTCACATCTAATATTCAAAGATGTCTACCTTAAAACCTTACAGCAGTGGTTCTCAGCCTTACCAGACTCAAGAGATCCCTGGATAGACCTAAAACAGCTATTGGAAAAACACCAGCTCTTTAGGTTCTTGTTAGGTTTTTTTTGCCTACAGAAAAATAACAGCCATTTTTCTGTTGCAAAGAACTAATAAAGACCACAACTATGGATTTCTATTTGAAATCTCTGGGTTTATCTTGTAAATCACATTTATAAACCATTTCATTAACATTGTGTGGCATCCCACAGCACCCTCAAAAAGATCTCAAGGCACCCCACTGTGCCATGTCATCCTGGTTGAGAATCACTGCCTTAGGTTGATCCAGTTGCTCACAAAAGAAGTACCCACCCATCCACCCCCCAGGTCAGGTTCCTTTAAGCCTCATGATGGCCCACATCCCTCTTCTGCCTTAATATAATTCATTTGGCCATGGTCAATTTAAATAAGTCTTTTCCTCTCTCCTATATTTAACAGTTGCCATTTTTCCTCCATTAACCATAATTGGAAACTATCTGGTCTCTATTGTCAAGTGCTTATACACAGATAAAAAACCCAAACAAAGCAGGAAGTAAAGGAAATAATTGTTTTGGATTTTTATTTGGCAACAGCCTGAAAACGACACATCATTACATAAACTTGCTATTACTTCAACTTTACCCTAACTTGGGAAGTTGGGAATTTTTATTGAAATCAAAATATATTCAGCTGTAAACATCAGTGTGATGAAATGAATACATGTATCATAGACAGTATTTGTTGGTGAGAACACGTTGTCACTACAATAATCACGTGAGTATTTTAATACCACCTAAACTTTTGCCAATTACTTTAAAGCATTATGATTTTAGCTCCAAATCACTCAACCCCAAATCATAAACAGCTGTTCATGGATTTCTTTTCTGCTAGTTCAGGAACTCAAGGGCCCAAAGAGTCCCAATACTTGCAGGTTTGCTATAACCAAAATTAGGAAGGGGAGGGGCTGAAGTGAGGAGGAAGACCAAACAAAACAAAACAGAACACACAACTAACAATAATCCTATTCCCTATATTTCATCTTTACATTGAGCATACATAGAACATTAAGTGTCTATCATTGTTTAAGGTCATATAACCAGACTGTCCAGTTTACTAGCAAAGCATTTATAGAAAGAAAAGGAAACCAAAAAAAAAAAAATCATAAACTAAATGCAGACATTGGATTTATGACACATTATAACCTGCCTGACATCTGACTCCCCAGGTACCTCTCCACTATTTAACTGCTACATTCATCCCCCTTCTCCCCCGCACCCAGCCTCTCTCACCCACTGACTCCTCAATTTACATCTTTACTGACTGCCTATCTTGTATGCATACCAGCTCAGCCTCTGGCTGCTTTACTTTTCATTCCATCCAGGAAGAGCACACACCAACTGCTGAAACTTCCTTAGCCTGACAGAGGGTTTTTGAACCTGAATGCTTGCTTAAAAATTGTTTTCCAACTATTTAAGTTGGTCTAATAAAAGATATCAGATTCACCCAAAGAACCTTGTCTTAGACCAACACAGCTACAACCTACACCCCTTAAAAACAAACACACATACATGAAAATATTAATAAAAAGCAACAAAAAGGAAAATTGCCTTTTAAAGTAGAGTACTTCAGATGCTGGAATTTAAGTTTATAAAAGCACAATGCAAGAGCTACTCCTAAAAATCTGTATTATAAGAACTGCAATTTGAGTCAGAGGGTTTAAAGTTCCCTCAGCTCAGACTTCAGCCTTCATGTTCATTAGAATAAGCATGTCAAGTGAAAAGCGTTCTGAGACTCATGTGGTTTGAAGATGGTTGCATCATAACCCAATGAAATTAAGACTGAACTGCAACATGTCAGCAGAAGCTCCAAATAAGAAGGTCCCTCCTGGGAAGGTCCCTGGAGGAATACAGTTGGTTGCATAGCCTATTCATACACAAGGATATGTGCATGACTCCATGCTTTGAGTACATGCTGGCTGTGTTCATTGTTATGCTTTCCCCAGGCACCACAAAAAAGGTGAAACCACCATTGTTTGGCTTGTTCAAAAATCATTGATTTCTTCACACAAAATTGTTCTGTCCAAGCTGACACAAACTGTTGAGAAAGCAGCCACATAAAAGTTTATTTTCATTCAAAGTGAAGGAGTGGAAAAGCCAAGTCAGGAAACACTACTGGGGATAAACCTGTTTCCGTTAAGTACAAGATTATAATAAAGTAAGTGGCTGCAGCCTTGTAGAAGCTAAACAGGGCTAGTCCCAAAGTTTTGTTTCTTCACTTCAGTAACAGGAAGTGGTGAGCAGCACCCATTTGTAGTACAAGTCAAATGACATATGCTACCACTTCCTGCTGAATTTTACTGCATGGCTAGGCATGTGCAATGCTTTGGTTACCAAGTTAACTCAAAGTACAGCATATGAAATGGCAATTCTACAGCATTTCATCAGTTGATACTGGGTTATGAGCCATTTCTCTTTCACTCACACAGAGGTTTTTAGGTCCTTGGCAGCCATTAAAACAACAGGACCCAAGGAATTTTATGCCCATTCCAAACACCCTGGCCTCTCCCATGCCACATACGCACAGTGGGAAGTGCAATATTTGGGATGGGGTATAAAATTCCTCAGATCCCAACTGCATGACTGGAGGCCAGGACTCTACCTGGCCCAGAGGTTGGTTTTGTTCCAGATGCAAGGACAGCCTGATCCTGATGCTCAACTGAGTGTCAGAATTGACACAGGGGACCTTGGTCTGAAAGCTACACATGAATGCTGCATGCAGGTTCCCAAAAGCTGGAGATGGGGGATCTGGGGTCAGGGAGGGTCTGCCCAGTCCTGCTTCCTTGTGTCTTTAGCTTTTATACACCCATGTGCAATCCAGCTGCATGTGCCATTTTTAGACTTGGAGATGCTCCAAGCTGATGCAACTTCGAGTGTGGGGATTACTGTAGGCCAGCCACAGGTCAGACATGCTACACAATCCAATTTAAAGAGGTGCCATACCAATATTTATAAAACATTTTTTTGCCTCCTCAGCCCATGGCTGACAAACCTTTAGGGGCATGCAGTTCCCAAGTAATTAACCCCCCAGAAGTTTCAGAACAAAAAAACCCAAAAAAACACTCCAAGCTATAAACTAGCTTCAAGGAAATTCTGTAGTGCAGTGGGCTGGCGTTACAGAATCAGGTCTGAGAGCTTGCACTAATCTAGAGTGGGGGTGCTCAACCTCCAGCCTGTGGGCCAAATGCACCCTGTAGAGCCATCTCATCTGGGCCGCAGAGCATGCATGGTCTGGAAATTTGGTGGCAAGGAAGTAGTGACAGCCACACCCCCCACCCACCTCCCAAGCCCTGTGCAGCTGGTTGGGGAGAGGACAAGATTCTTTCCCCTGTGGGACACCCCTTCCTTGCAGCCAGATGGTGCCCACTGTGCCTACCTGGGCACTGAAATCAAGAACACTGGCTGGATCCAACCCACCAGGCCAAGAAATTGAGCATCACTGACGTGAAGCATCAGAATTTTGACCACAAAGCCACTCCCCCCACCTTAGTACCTTGACCATTTCTGCTCTGCTCTCATCTGCCTGCATTTGGGGTATGTTACATTGTTCTTTTTATGAATGTGCTCCCTTTTCTCTGAATCAGTGGAGAATGTCCAGGGGAGAATTGTGAAAGAGACGTACTGAAGGACTGGCTGCACTAAACAGATCTTGACTTGGCCCTCAATTGAAGTGGATGGTCCCAGCTAAAAAGCAGTTCTGGCTTTAATCTATAGCCAAGGCGTGCAGGA